AATTGGTACAGGTGTTTTCTCCACCAAACCAGGCTTACCGCGTGCGTTCACGCTTCTTTTCTACCCGCCAGGGTAAGAATGAATTATCGGACTATGTCCAAGAGCTGCGAACGCTCATGGCTGCAATGCAGTCTGACCCTCTGCCTGAAGCAGTCCATGTGACTATCTTCATGGAAGGTCTACGTACTGGCATTGCCAGAACCGAGGTTTTTGGGGTTCACCCCTCTACGTTCAAAGAGGCTGTAAGAATTGCTCTTAATGCCGAGCATAACATTAAGTCGGCCAGACTTGGTCGGAATGGACACAATCCTCACTCTGTGAGAGCAAACTTTTCGAGTACCACTGCCTATAATAGGCCGGAACCGATGGATCTCAGCTATGCTGAAGATGGAGGTGAAGCTGAGCTTTAAGCTGCTGAGCAGCAACACGTCGTACGAAGATGTTTTACACGCGGAAGCACTAAACACTTGCGGCCTGGTTGCCCTTTGCGTTAGCAACGCCAGGCTACGAGCCAACACTCGACCCCGAGACAGAAGTCTGGCATGGCACGGGGAAATGCCGACACCCAGTAGGCGCGGGGCGCCCTACTTGGGAAGAACTAGGTTCTGTTACACCTTTAGAAGGTAAAGGAATGCAGGGCTTAGCCCCGAAGAGTACCATACCTACAGGTATGGTGCGTGGATACAAGTCTGGCTTGTTGGTCGCCAAGGCGAAAATTAAGGGCTTTGAGAAGCCTTGGTCGATATTGATCGATTCTGGAGCGTCTTGCAATTATACTCGACGCCGTTCCCTTGAGGGAAGTCAACGTTATGCTGAGGCGCTTACACCGTATGAGGGTGATTTGATCACGGTTCGTTTAGCGACTGGAAGTCGCGTAACTTAGCCTAAAGTTCCATTAAACTTAAGTATAAAGTTTTTAGAGTTTGACAGTATTGAGCGCTGTCTTGTCCTAGATTTGGACTCGAAATATGATCTCATCCTAGGTATGGATTGGCTTGAACGCAATGAGCCCTAAAGTGATTGGAGGTCTAAGACCTTAGGCGCTACGCGAAATGTTCCTAGCGAAGCTTTAGAGAGTCATGAACCCACCTTCGCTAGGCAACAGAAGCGCTATGGCGCGAGCCTTTGACAGAAGCTGTCAATGTGCTGGATATTGGAATGTCTGAGTAATCTAACTCTAATGTTACAAACATAAGTTTCAAGCCTAGCTCGTCGAAAACTAGTGAAACGGCACGTACTCCGTTAAATGTTACTCGTTGTGATAACGAGTCACCGCATGCTGAAAGCATGGTTGGTCTTGGGCCGAGTGATCAAGAATGTGATTCCTTTGATGTGTGTATGGTGGCACGTGAAACTACACCGAGTGTGGTCGGCCGTGAGGGCACCGCACTGAATGTCGGTAATGACATTGTTGAACATATGCCATCTAGTGTGGACGGCCGTGAAGGCACCACACTTAATGTTGGTAATGATACTGTTGGCGATACGCCGTATAGTGTGGACAGCCGTGAGGGCACCACACCTAATGTCGGTAATGACCTTATTGGCGAGACGCTGTTAATTTTGGGGCTAGGCCCGCATAATAGACGTGGAGTGGCACGTTTCAATCCACTGGGTGAAGCGTTTGAGTTACGTAACACTTCACCGGATGTCGGCCAAGACATGAGCTCTCGTACAGAGCGTACTATGGTTAGTAGTAACCATGGGGACAATATTATCCCAACCCCTAAGGGGTGTAAGGTCTCGAAGAGACGATCGAGACGCCGGGTAGCAACTTTTAACCGCCAGTCGTCCTCACAGTCACACAGTGATAATAGTAATACACTATATACACTTGTTAATGGAGTGACTGGTCAGGTTGATGGCAGTGTTTGCCTTGAAATCCTTCCATCTGTGGACGCTCTTTGTCAGCTAGACGAAATGTCTGATGGCGAGTTTAGCCAGGCCTTGAAGGCAGGAGATTTATTCGAGTTAGCGGTCATTAGACCTGATACTGAGTTGCATTCTTCCTCGTCAATGGATGAGTCTGTCCTAGAGGATACAAAGGCGGCACTTAGTGCACGAAGCGGATCTTCGATCCTTAAAGATTCTTTGGATCCGTTCTATCCTTTAGTTAAGGAACTTCAAGATGTGGTGTGTCACAACCCACCTTCTTCCTTACCTCCCGATAGAGGTGTACGTCATGAGATTGACTTGGTTCCTGATACTAAATACTGTGTAACACGTCAGTGGCGTTTGCCTAAAGAACAGTGTGACGTCATTGACGAATTCTTTCGTGCTAAGCACGCGGCTGGAATGGTTCGTGAGAGCAAGTCTCCCCATTCAACACCGACATTTTGTATCAAAAAGCCAAATGGCAAGTGGCGTATTGTGCATGCTTATAATAAGCTTAATGCAGCCACTTTATCGGCTCAGACGCCTATTCCTAGAAAGGATGTGCTTCAGAACAATATGGCAGGATGTACATTGTACAGTGCACTCGACTGAGTCGATGGTTATTACCAACTGCTTATGCGAGCAAGAGATATTCCGCTAACAGCGGTGAGTACTCCGAGCGGTATGCTCTGGGTGTGGCTTGTTATGCCACAAGGGCTATCTAACGCCCCCGCTACGTTTAACCGGCTGGTAACGCAACTATTCAGACCTCATCGAGGCTATGCACAAACGTACTTTGATGACATTTTTGTCCATAGTCGTGCAATGAATGGGAGATCATATGTGGATAGCCATGTTGATCATTTACGAGCGGTGCTCGAGTGTATGCGAACGAATAAGTTGTATGCGAACGCATCGAAGTGCATCTTTGGTGCAGAAGAGATTCCCTTTCTAGGGTGCTTCATTGGGAAGCGAGGCCTTCGAGCGGATCCCGCTAAGGTAATAGCCATAGTCGATTGGCCGGTTCCCAAGAACCAAAAGGACTTGCTTAAGTGGCTTGGCCTTGCCAATAACTTACATAAGTACAGTGTGAATTACGCAGATATGGCTCGGCCATTGTCCAATCTCCTTAAAAAAGGATGTGGATTGGTGTTGGGGTAACACCGAACATGATGCTTTTGAAGCCGTTAAGGAAAGTCTCCTTCATGCGCCAATATTGGCTTTGCCCGATTCTGGTAGGCCTTTCAGTGTCGTCTTTGACGCATCTGACTTTGCCTTAGGCAGTGCTCTGTTACAAACAGATGTCGACGGACGCGAACGCGTCATCGCATTCGAGTCTCGGCATCTAAAAGCTGCTGAAAAGAACTATCCTGTTCATGAAAAAGAGCTACTTGCTATGAAGTACGCTCTTGTCAAATTCAGAGTCCATCTGCTTGGCTCCAAGCCGTTTGTGATATATACAGATCATGCGTCATTACGCACTGCTACACAGTCGCCTTATCTCTCACAGAGAATGGCTCGTTGGCTTTCCTTCTTTGCCCAATATAACTTCGAGGTGAAGTACAAGCCAGGTAAGCAAAATGCTTTGGCTGATGCGCTATCGCGTCGACCTGACTATGAGCTTGCTCATGTTACGACTCTGTCGTCGTCAGTCCCTGACTTAATTCGTGCGGCATGTGCCAAGGATGATCAGTGTGTAGCTTTGCTACGTGCTCTTGGGAGCGATGAGTTTAAAGACTCGGACATAGAATTGTCGGCACGTTTACGTGCGAGGCTACATCGATATTCCATCGATAATGGCCTGTTGTGCTATCGCACGGATATTGAGGATAAGCCTCGCATCGCTGTACCTCATGATGAATAATTAAGGTATCGAATCCTCTATGAGGCACATGATACTGCTTTAAGTGGTCATCTCGGTCGTGAGAAGACTTATAGCTCGGTGAGCCATAGTTATTGGTGGCCCAAACTTTATAAGTGGGTGCGCACCTATGTGCGTACGTGCGAAACTTGTCAACGGGTAAAACCCTCGGCACATACGGCGGCGCCGCTGGCTAGTTTGCCAGTACCCTTTGGTTGTTGGGAGTCCATGAGCATGGATTTTGTGTTTGGCCTGCCGAAAGATTCGGAAGGCAACACTAGTATTGTGGTCTTTGTTGACCGATTAAGCAAGATGGCTCACTTAGCGGCTGTGCCGGATAGCATCGATGCTGAAGGTACAGCAAAGATGTTTATCGACCGTGTGTTTCGCCAACATGGCTTGCCGGTGGCAACTGTCTCTGATAGAGACTCCCGCTCTACTGGGAAGTTTTGGAAGTCTATCTTCAAGGTGCTTGGCACTCGGTTGGACATGTCCACAGCGGATCATCCGCAGACCGACGGTCAAACCGAGCGTGTTAACCGCGTCATCAACGACATTTTACGCAGTATTTGCGCTGATACGCCTAGGCGTTGGAGCTCAATTCTCCCTGTTGTTGAGTTTGCGTTGAATAACGCTGTTCATTCCTCAACAGGCTTTACTCCGTTCTATATAAATTGACCCACTCACCCTCGCGTTCCGTTAACGCTATCACTACGTGAATCAGGGCTTGGTGGGGGAGAGGTTGCCGATCGGCTTGCTGATATCAGCCCTGCTACTGTTCAAAAACAGGTAGGCGAGTTTCTCGCAACGCGATTAAATGTCCTAAGACATGTGCGTGACGCAATGGCTGATAGCCAAGATACCCAAAAACAACAAGCTGATACCAAAGGCAGAAATTGTATTGAACGTTATGAGGTCGGAGACCAAGTACTACTCAATGCTAAAAATCTAACTACAAATGTAGTGTCTGCTGTCTTTAAGACAAAGTTGCGTCCACGCTTTATTGGACCGTTTACGGTCACGGCCAAGAAGGGACTTGCGTATACGCTAAACCTCCCGCGCAAATTGCGCACACGTCCAGTGTTCTACGCAGGCTTACTTAAGCCGTACCGGGATCCTTCCCATATGAACTTGGAGGCGCTTGCGCCGACGACAAAAGCACTGCACCGGATTGCTGCAGACGAATCAGCAAGTCCGACTGAGCCTCGCTCCGAGTTTGAGCTTGCTCCATCGCCTGAAGGCGGCTTTGCATCGCATCCAGCATTCACTGGGACTTACCCAAGGCCTCTTGAAGACCCTTCACTTCGAGAGCCAATTTCTCGTGGGTATCCACCGGTACACCGGCCGCCACCGACTTTGCTCGATGAGCATGGGCGTCGTCAATTTCATGTCGAGAGACTACTGAAACGACGTCGTCGTCAGGGCCAATACCAGTATCTGGTAAAGTGGCGTGGGTACCCTGAGTCTGAAAACTCATGGGAATTTGAGGTACCCCTTTGGCTAGACTGCCCATATGCTTTGGATGCTTTTGGGCATCGTGGCCATGGTCATCTCGAGACCGAGGCCGTTCCCCACCACTAGTGGTGCGGGTCGGCGGGTTGTTGACCACAGACTGACCAGCACTCGCGGCTACCTTAGTAGCCGAAGCATAGCGCGTGCGCTTGCGCAATTGGCCGCTGGCCTTAAGCTTGGCATAATCATACCGAATCTTGCGTTCGAGACGCACATCCGCCGCATGGGCACTAGCCCTTAGAGCAAAATGTTGCTGAGGCTACGCACATAGTGCACCCAGTGAACGAAGGCGTCGTCTTCTTCGCTCACTGTTTCGCCTGCGAGCAGGAGAAAGGGTATACCCTTAATCGGTGGAACCTGTGCACCACGTGCTTGCATGTCAAGGCGTGCCAGGCACCTCTCACGAATTGCCTGGCAGCTCATTACCTCCTCAGGAGTCTTAGGCCCATGGCCAATGACCCACATTGCCAATGTTTGGCCGGCCGCTTGACGTAGACGTTCCTCCACACTGGGCGGGGTGAACACATAGTTACGCTGGCGTTCAAGGGTTGCAGCCATTTGTACAAAACGCTGAGCGTTTTCTTCTCTTTGGACAAGCAGTTGTTGTTGCTCATCGAGCGGGTTCGTGATGGTAGTCTCATCAGACCCAGATGCTGCATGCTGCGCTGGTGGCGCTCTCGCACCTCCACGTTTAGCGAACGGATTTGGGTTGTTCGAAAGTTGTGCCTTAGGCATCAGTGAGCCGGACATTGTCCCTGTATCACCGCGGACACTGGTATCGCTACCATAGTCTAACTCCTCCTCTATTCCGAGGTAGTCACACAGAGCCTTTTGACTCGTTTGGTGATGAGGACATCGTGCTAGAGCGTACGTTACCGTGGCATTCACCGTACGCGCACTGTTCTCGCTGAGAACACAAGTTCGATTGACGTTTTGGCAAACTTCAGTCTGGTGGGGGAGGGTATAATGGGGTTGCACGAAATTATGGTACTTTGTACCAGAGTATTACACACCTGAGGTTACCCCTTTGTGAAGGTGATATAGAATATCTTATCGGTTTGTAGGGGCTGACGAGTGTCAGCCATTTGGTACGAAAGATCTTTGAGTAGGATTAAGATATTCTATAGGCTTTAACAAAAGTAAAATCAGTTCCAATTTTGATCTGAAGGACACGTGGCTTGCGAGCCGTCTTGATCGTTGATCACTGATCACTAAGAGCTAGCAACACCTCCTTGAGGTAGCTACTCTTGAGCACTGAGTGCTGTCGATTCACTGAATCGTTAGGTCCCCTGGAACAGGGATCTGAAGTTGTAAAGCTTGTTGACTCGTAAAGTCGTTAGTTCTTTAGAACTAAGTTGCTCGTAGAGCGTTAAGTCTTCCTCTGACTAAGGAGTTGTGTAGCTCCGCTACACAGACGAACGTCTCGAACGGCAACTATGTGATTTATACGCCAAGTTGAAGGCCAGGTACCTGATTCGGGCGGCGTTCCACGCGCACTAATCTTTTGCTGTTTCGATAGCTGCGAGTCAATCTTAGGCTTCGGCCATGGACCAGCCTGCTGCTACCAGTAACAAGGATACGCGTCCGAATTCACAAGTAGACCCATAATTTGGCGCTCAAGAATATCCACGGCATATGGGCAATTTTGCCCATTAAGTTTATCATACTCCCATGAGCTTTCGGACTTAGGGTTAGCCTCGCCACAATATTATATACCGTATTGGCCATGAAGACGAAATTGTTGCAGTAACATGTACACATGAAACTGGAAGTTCCCTTGCTCGTTAAGAAAAGCTGGCGGAGGTCGGTATGTAGGCTGCGGCCCATGAGGACCTGATTCAGGAAGTGAACAGTCTTCGTAAAGCTTTGGACTAGGCGCAGCGCACGCTTGACGTGGTGCATGCTCGCTTGTTGACCTTTAGATCAACAAGCGAGCATGCACAACGTCAAGCGTATTCAAATTAGACACGGACGGAGACTAAATTTGACCTCCTGGTTTGAACTCAGCAGCCTGTGGCAAGGCCAAATTACGCTGTGCAAGCGCCTCCCGATCAACCTAAGACGGATCCCGGCACGGCTTAGGGTGGACAATGTAAATTAAACAGGGTCAACGCAGCTTTTGTGGTAGTTTAAACGTATAAGAAATGCCCTTTTTGGACACGACCGTAAATTGCCCTAGGAAGTGCAGACGCAGCTTCGCTATAAACACAATAGACGCTACATTTCTAAGTATGTTCTTATCGTTTAGTACGACTTGATCACCAGTCTTAAAACTTTAGACGTGTCTACTGTCCACATCATTCGCATGTGCCATTCGATCGTCTTGGCTATCAGCCGTTGCGTCACACACTTGTCGAATACATTTGATAGCGTTGTGAGGAACACGCTAACCTATTTTTAAACTGTTACTGGGCTGATATTAGCAAGCTTATTGGCCACCTTCCGTCATTAAACCCCGTACTATGTAGTGTTAGCGCTAACTAATGAGGGAGGAGGTGAGTCCGTTCACAAAGAACGGTGTTAAGCTTTTCGAGGCGTGGAAGGCATTTTTAATGGACAAATTAACAATAGGGAGTATTGAGCTCCAACACCAGGGCTTCACGGCGTACACTCTGAGTAAGACATCGCCGAGGACGCGATTAACGCGCTCGGTTTGACGATCGGTCTGCTGATGATCCACTTTAGACATGTTTATTGTACACCTTGTAAATAGTCTTCCATAAATAAGTCGTAAACCGAGGATTGCGTATAAATCTAATTACCAGTGACAGACCGAGACGTCGTATTAATCGATTTACAAACATCAAAGCTGTACCTTTGTCATCAATGGAAGCAGGCACAGCCGCTGAGTGATTAATCTTGCTCAGACGGTCTTCAAAGATCAAATACCCGCGTTGCCATCCAAGTCTTTCGGTTGGCTAACCAAAATATCATGCTGATTCTGTCATATTAGATATAGGGTGCAGAAAAAATTGCCAGCGGCGCGTTCGGATTGCCGAGAATTTGACCCGTTGGCACGTGAAGCATTTGCGCAGATATGTACTTACCCGATTAAAGAGACGAAATGTCTAATAAATATGGCTGACCAAGCCGTAGGTCTTTTCACGACCGAGATGACAGCTAATAGCAATATTTTGCACTTCATAGATGATGCAATATTTCAGTAAAACTAATTATAAGGAACAAGTTACGCGGGGTATCTGCAGTACCAAAGATATAGCACAACGGGCCATTACCAAGAGAGCACTGAAGTTGCCTCGCACGCTAACGTTTTTAAAATTCAATGCCCGAACTCTTGAGCGCATCGCTTCCAAGAGCTTTTAGCAAGGCTGAACAATGTTAATCTTTGGCATAAGACACAGGGATTTAGTCAGTAATTGACGACAACGATTTCGTAGTATGAGCAAGCTCATGGTCAGGCCAATGTGACAGCGTTTCAGCCAGAGTATTTTGCTTTCCCGAATTTTTTTATTTTCAAATTGTATCTGCAAATTTGAAAGCCGACGTTTCATCCTCTAAGAGACGTACGGCGGTTGGTTAGCCGTGCGTAAAGACGCAAAAACTGGAATCGAATTCAAAAGTTCCAAGCAGATAAACCCTAAATTTGACCGGAGCATACTGCATAGGAAGTAGTTCCTCGGCGTGAAATCGATAATTCTTACCAGCAGCTTTTAGCTGGCGACATTTAAAAGCGATTGCACGCTCGCGTCCCACAACAGAATTTTTAAAAAAGCAGAGCGAATGATAAAATCCTAAGCGTCGCAGACGACACTGAAAGGCCTATCACAATCTGGACAAGCCGAAATTGGTCCAATTACAATCTGGACAAGCTATATAAGGGTATAAAGACATCTTTTGTGGCCTGAAAGTTATCTTCTTCAGTTCTTGTCTAGCACCACTCCAAATCTTTTTAGAGGAGATTGAATAATAGTGGAGTCGAATCAGCGTGATTGGCGCTATGCCTGTGTATATAATCGGCAAAGACAAGCCATTTGCGTAGATATTTTTTCTCCTAAGAACCAATATATCGTCAATGGACTTCGGATTTGCCGGATCTGCCCAAAGGCTTCCTTGCCACCGAAGCATTTCAAAAATAGGATCTTGTCCGAACCAAAGATACACTCTAATGCATTATCATTGGTCCTTTTATTGCGCCTGAACTCGAGTACAGATCGTAAATAATCGATATGGTGATAGAGGTCTGACCGACCTAGCTCCGCCCAACTACAGACAAATGTGTCATCAAAACATGTTTGTGCATAAGCACAGTAAGTGCGGAATAATTGCGTAATCAGCAGATAAATGTATCCAGGACTTTGGAAAGTCTCTGGGTCCTAACCCGCCAATACTTAACATACGATTGGAGTACTGGCCGCTGCTAGCGGGAAATTACTTGTTCGCATCAGCAGTTGAAAAAATTCATCGACCAGGTAGATTGCACTGTATATTGTACGTCCTGCTATATAGTTATGAAATTAAAAAAATTAAAAATAAGTTTTTGTACCGGTATAGTGGCCGCATAAAGCTTATTTTAAGCATGCACAATACGTCACTTACCATTATGTTTCTTATACAAAGGTCGGCGTGAAACGTGGAGACTTGCTCTTACGCACCATCCGTGCCATGTGCTTGGCACTGGCAAGCTCGTCAATGGCGTCAAACTGTTCCTTTGTTATATGAAAATGCCTTTTAACGCATTTAAATCCCGAAATTATTAGAGCTTCATTACGTTCGCCCCTATCGGGAGGTAACACAGACGGTAAATTTTTAACACAACACATCGTGAAGACCCTTAAATAGATAAGTTAAGATCTGAAGGGTTGTTTAGTAAAAAATAATGATGATTTACTTCGTGCACGAAGTGCTGCCTTTGTACTCTCTAGGAACGTCTCATCCAATAGAGACGAGGAGGTAAACTCATTAACGGGTCTTAGGACCATCATGTCGGTTTAGTCGACTGCCTTCAAAGCCTGATTGAACTCATCTACGTACAATTGATCTATCTCTAACAGAGCAGTAAACAATGGGAGGGCCGCGAGGTCCGACTTCATCATCTTATTAACCTGTCAGGCCATCGGCCAATGAATATATTTATTCACTAGAATCTCTGAGCGACATTACAGACGCTCTTCGTCTTGCAGATTCCATTTGGAGTCTCTGTACATCTATAAAAATAGACTGAACTCCCCAGCAAGGGCGGATTGTCTGCTCCCACAAGTACATTAGCTTTGTCAACCTCAACGTACTCTCTACAAGAGCTGATGCATTTACTGACATCTGGTGCAGAGTTAGATAAAAGAGACTATCACTTGGCGAGTTATCCCCTACTGTGCACACATCAGGCTCTTTTTATCTGGGCATCTCATCAAAATCCATTACCGGCATACTATGACAGCCAATCTCTAAGTAGGTTTACGTAACACTGCACATGCATCAGATAGCCTTGCTCTTGATACTGAGGAATCTCGCCAACGAAGTCATTAACAGAATTCAGTAAGGCAATTTTACAGCCCGCCCTCTCTCTATGGATGTCCACGTGCCACTTCACATTACCTAAGAAAACAAACGCTAAATGAACAAACGCTGAATGACCAAACGCTAAATGACTCGACCTGAGGTCACCAATACTATTATTACACAGTAATTCGTTATGAAACTACTTACTACTCAACATAGTACGTTCCTTTTCACTATTGTTATTGACATAACAGTCAAGTGACTCAGAAATTTCAATGTCAATCACACTAACT